AAAATCTTGATTTATATTACATTAGTTTTTAAAAAATATGGTAAAAACCGTTTTCGTGTTATCTTGAAATAAATGCATTGCTTGTGTACATGAGAGGCTTCAAGAGTGTTAATTATGCACATTTTAAATGTTAATATCTCGTTTCACGGACGGTCAAAAAATTTAATTTTTTTTAGTTAGTAAACGACACGTTCATTAACCTTATATTTCAATTTTATTGAATTCTTAAGAAAAGCTGTTTTACGAGTGAACTACCTTAAAGTTTGGTGTTGCAGTATTTTTAATAAAATACTTAAAGTAAATATGTACTTAAAATAGTTTCAAAAGTACTTTAGGTATTTTCCATTTAAGTACTTAAGTATTTTCAGAAAAAACTTTAACTAGATTCTGATTTTCCAGTACATTTTTCAAGTAACAAGTAATACTTACCACAAAAGCGTTAATTTAAGTACTAATACAAGTACTTTTTTCAAATGTAATGAGTACATTTCCAAAAGTATTGTTAGTTCATAAATACTTTAAGTAAAATACTTAAAGTAACAAAATACTGATTATTTATTTCAAGTACGTTTTTGTACTGAGTACCTCAGCTCTGCCCGCTTTTTGATTTTTTTTATAATGGCTTTATTTTGTTTATTATATTTTTTTAGAAAAATGAAATCTGCCAATCGCTCTCAAATTATGCGAACTACCACCCCTACAAATTTGGACGCCAAGTTCGGAAATACCCTGTATAAAGACAATCTAGCTTTTCAGTTTAAAGAAAAAATAAACTAACTCGGTGTTAAAATTATTATGTACCGAGAAAATGGTTACATTTGACCCGGAAAGTTTAGTGTTTGTGGTTTTTGTACTTTTATTAAAATCGAATATCTTCCAACAAATACGCCGCCTTGTATATTTTGAACCTTAGAGGTACGCATATTTTAGTGATATTACTTTTCCAAAAAATCAATTTATAAGTACAGGGTTTTGAAGTAATCCTTAAAAAAAATATTTTGTGGTTCTCACTATGAGAAAACACCAGTGAGTGACTTTTTCTCTTTCTAACTAGTAGTAATAGTACAAGTGCCCTTAGAAATCCTCATTTAAACATTTATATTGGGAAGTGTAGAGCCCCCTATGCACACTATGTTGATGCTCTTCCACCGAAAACATTTTGAAGATTGTTATAAAAATTTTTTTGACAATCTACAGGGCGAGTCATAACTATTGGGACATTAGTGTGCAGGTTATTTGAAACAAAATATGAGGATTGGACCAAATATGCCTTAATCAAATGTTGCCGTGGAAAAAGAGTTTTTTGTTACAATTTCACTGAATTATGTTTTTGAGCTCTTCTTTATGGCCAGGTACAGTATGACAAGATAGAGATGGCAAGTCAGAATTAGATGCGCACTGGCAAACACAAGTGAACACAAATAGATCACTGAAACAATAGAATCGAAGTTCAGGCATTAACTGAGATTACTCCTCCCATTTTTAGATTTGCCAGTGCACATCTAATTCTAACTTGCCATCTCAACCCTGTCGTACTGTAAATATTAGCAAAATTTCACAAATATTGTGCTAAAATATAGCAACACAAAATAACAGATCAAAATGGCAGAGTTTTTTCTGTTTTTCAAAATAGTATTCAAAATTATCAGAAAAGTGCGTAATACATAAGTATGTGCTTCATACAGAATCTTATAATTATCATTGATTTTGTTTTTTAGTGGATAAATTAATATTAAATATAAAATTTCACAATGATGGGTGTAATCTAAATAGGATGTGTTTTGAGGTCATCTTTATTTTCTTTTCAGTGTGGCATCGCCCTCATAATACATTTCGAGATTTGGTATCTAGGCAGTACTGATATTCAATATTTCCCAAAGTATCAATAGCCTGTATCATTATTGAAAGTATCGTTACAAAATATGGTTTAAAATAAATGGAAGAAAGAAAAATCTTTATTTATTCCAAAAATTCCTTTAGAGGTGTAGAGCATGTCATAGTACATAAATATACATTTTATACACAACACATTAAAAACATTTTTTTCATAATACATTTTACATTTTATTTTTTTTTATAATTATTTTTGTTCTTAATAATCATTTAATTTTCTTATATCGCCAAGGTCTTCAATTGTTTCTCAGAGTGGCTTTCTTTTGCTTTGGTGTTTAAATAACCTCTTAGTTTTTTATTAGTAAGTTGGTCTTCTGGGTTTAGTCCGTCTGATATATAGATTTTTGTATTCTTTAATTTTTAAAGATTTTTTAAATTTCTGTCTTGCGAAATTCAAAATTTGTTTATTGTTTTTATTATGAAGAAAATATACGTTGTTCAGATCGGCAATGTCCAATTTAACTTTAAATACTTTTCCTAACTTTTGCAAATCTTCTTTTATATCTTGGGTTTCTATGCCAAAAACTATATTATTTTTGAAGCCTCCGATTCAAATTATTAGCGTGATCTTTTATCTTGATATTCTCGTTTTCCAAACTAGTTATTCTACTAGAGAGACCGGATACCTCTGCCTTAATTTCTTTCAATGTTTTCTGCGATTTATTAAATTTAGTATCAAGTGATCTCAGAAGATTATTTAGATCCGATGGTGTCAAATCCTTATAAGCCATCGACTACGGTGGTGTAGGTGTCTACGGCGCGGCATTCATTTGTCAGCCAATTTTCTGGTAAAACGAGACACGGTTTCAGATCCTACGGAAGACCGACCATGTGCATTTATTTGCATGGTTCTCTATAGGATTTGATGGATGTCATATTAGCAGAAATTGAATTTCTGTTGATATGACATCCAGACTATTAAAATAAAATCATCATGCATTACCGTTTTCGATGATGGTGAGTGGGGTTTTCCGGGTTTTCCTCTCCTGTAAGTCAAATGGCACCATCAATCATCTTTAAGTCGCCCCGGAGCGTCACGGCAAATAATAATAATAATAGCCGTCCCTTTCCCCGCACAAGCTCAGCTTTTGGGGTTAAAATTCACTCGTGAGGGAGTGAATTAGGGAGAGTATTATTATACAAAAATTTTTAAAAGGATCTACTACAGAAAAATTAACATTTATCATTTAGACTCCAGACTAATATACAAATCGATGATGTTTTATCTGGCCAGTTTTTTTATCAGTTTTTCGAAGGAAGATTTATTTGTCCAAGTGAATGTTAGTTAGATATTAAGGAATCAATTATGCAGCTCACCAAGTATATCCAACGTATAGTGGGGAACGAGTTCAATAATTTGATATAAAATACAGCTCCAAAAACAACCTAAAAACCACTGAAATTCGAGTAAATACTAGAGTCGAAATATTCGTGTGTACACTCGATCAGTTCTTCACCATGGATTAAAAATAAAGACCTTTTATTATTATTATTATTATTATTATTATTATTAATTATTATTATTATTAAGAAAAAACAGTTTGTTCTGAAAGTGTAGAATAAAACTATAGTATTAATAAAAACATTATACATTCATACTAACATTCAGTCAGGAGATGAAGCTGTGCACCCTTCCTCATCACTTGTCAATTCATCCTGTTCCGTTTTTTGCTTTAGCTTAGTCACCATCATTAATACTTGCTGGAAGAAGTCCTTTGGAAACTGTAATAGCAGTTTTTAGCAGTATTTTTAAGCTATTGCATAGATTTTATCGCGGGCTTTGAGTGCGGCGACTAAATCAAGAAATTCCGTAACGACCGTAACGAAAAAAACCTAACACCCCCACTCCGACCGGCACAGCGGTGCGGCGTTAAACAATATTAACTTCTCATTTATTCAATAAAAGAAAATCGAAAAATCGAACAGAAATTCCATAAAGAAAATAAACCTAACACCCCCCACTCCGACCGGCACAGCGGTGCCGCGTTGAAAGCCCGTCTAACGTCGTTTCAGTTCGGCAGACTTCGGTACAGTGTTTGTGTGCGTGCGACTAGACGTATGCGTGTAGACTAGCTGCTAACTGATTCTATCTCTTTTAGACACAATTTCGGAGAATGAATTTGAAAATGAATAATGATCCACAAGAATCCACAACAAAATATGGGACCACCATTGACGCGGTATTTTCCAGATATTTAGAGGATATCAAGTCTCAAACTTATGTTTCTTATTTCAGTTACCATAAACCTATAGTTTTAATGATAAAAATTCCTGAATAACCTACATGTATTGTAAGATAATAAAAAATTTTAAACAATATTAACTTCTCATTTATTCAATAAAAGAAAAAAAATGTTTTCTTATCGGTCACCACGCTCAAAAAGTGTAACTTGAATTAATATCAGAGAAAAAACCTGAATTAATATCAAAGAAAAAAAAATAGTGCATAAATAAAATAAATAATTATAATTGCATAAGTTGATAAAAAAATGCTATGCAATAGCTTTACCGCGGCAGTCCCCGAGTGCCACAAGTATTTTTTTTATTCTAACAGAAAAAGAACTCAATTAAATTATTATAAAAAAATAATGGCCGGCCGGGACTCTTCGGGAACTAAAACTTTTTCATTTTTAAATTCTAATGAATATAATTTTTTGGCTAGTTTTTTAACTTTTTGAAAGTTATCCTGTTTTTGATCCTCCATGACCTGATTTGTAAACATACACATAATAAAAATGTTAGCTTGTAAAACTGCATTAAAAACAACTCTAAAACCATATCGTTTTCTGATAAAGATACTTGAATTGTGACTAAGGAAAGTATTTGAGCATTAGTCAATTAATGCGAGGTATTATTGTTCTGTTCACTTTAACCTACATCTTTTGAGATTTGGCTTAAAGTACGTTTGATGAAATCAACTTATGACTGCCTAAAATCCTTAAACAACTGCCTCCTGCGACAGATATGCTTGAACCAAAACAAATTCACAAACAACAGCAATTTCATTTATTGTATTTACATAATTTTAGATCTATACGGGTATTAAGTAACTTGTTAAAATTACTCTTCAAAATAAAATAAAACCTAATATGAATAATTTTTAATAGGTCTTTGCCGCTGATCGACCAGACAGAGCCGTATTAGTCCGAACATTCATGTTCTTGGGCTTCGCTGTGCTGTCTCCAACGTCACCGCTGGTACCACCATCATTGGCCAATGGCAACGTTTGCATGCTCTACAACATCGAATGAAAAGTTCCCAAATAGTAGCCTCGGACGTCGCTAGTTTTGTTCATGTTTTCTATATATTTCCATTAGTAATAGACAGGTTGGATGGTGTCTTGCACCGCTTTTTTAACAATTCAAATATATATTTTGATTATTGCACCAAACCTTTTAATTTTTACTTGAAGTCTAGGTATGAGTACAAATTAAAAATTATACTCCGAACCTCTCTTGATGTGTTTAGATAATTTAATAAATCAATCACAATTTAATTTAATAAATCAATCACAATTCAATGTCAACATAGCTTCGAAAATAACGCTAAATCACAATTTATTTGAATTGGTAATGTGTAATACAAGGAAAACTTTTTTAAGTTCATGTACGTTTTATTTTGATAAGAATTTTTACTTGGTTTGTTCTGTGTTTAATTTTAATCTTTTCCTAAATATTAACATTGTGTTTCGTTAAATTTTATTAATCACTATTTTATTAAACATATAAAATACCATTTCACCATCCAATTTAGTAGCGATTTTTATTTACTTCATTTCCTGATAATATTAATTTAGTATGTTTTTATTATAAATTTTCGTATTTGCCAAATATTAGGAATTGAGGTAAAAAATATAATACATGTGTTTTATAGCTTTTGTCACGTTAGGCATATACACAGCATGTCGTTAATCTATTGTTTTAGTTATCAGGATATTATTTAATAAACATAGGTATTGGATTTTGTGCTCCAATTTTCATGTCTTCATTTCCTTATTAATGTTTTGAATTAATTTTCAGGTGACGAGTGCTGTGTTTTTATATTTTTATAGGTTAAGTGCATTGTGAATTAAATCTATCTTATGCTTATGTAGGTTTTCATAGAATGTGAACAAAACAAGACGAAAAATTTTAGTAAGGAAAGTTTAATATGCCCCTAAATTTAAAAATTTTAAAATGTATAAAAAAAATTAATAAAATTAAGAAATTAAAAAAAAAAGGTAGGTACGTATATTGTAAAACATTAATCAATAATTTTAAGTATGTTTCAACTTTTATTCGTAAATATTGGTCATATTGTTATATTATTAATCTAACGTTAGTTAAAGATTGTGAGTTAATAATCTAGATTATTATTTCAGTGTAACCACTATTTCTTATATTAATACTTATTAGTTACGAATACAAATTGACTTTTATTCAATATCCTTTAATAAAAACCTTGTTTAAAATGTTAGGAGTGGTATGCTTTCAAAACCTAAAAGCAAAACTGTAATCTGTAATTTGCCCCAATCTTGCCAATAGTCACTTGGACCCCGAATTTTTAGCTTCAGATTAGCTTAATCTTCAGATAAATAATACAGATAAGTATAACCCCTTATCTAAAAGATAACTAGTGAATTGTTTAAAAGATGTATTAATAGATTATTTAGGTTCAGTCTTGTCAACTAAAATTAAATCAAAATAAGAGAGGAGATATGGAGAGATATGCAAATTTCTGTAACGTCAGCCACTAATAGTGACAAATAAATTCCAAGCTAAAATAAAACTTGCAATTCTGATGTATTGACATTACAGTCCTTATCCTTATACACATTCCTAGCTTATTTTAAAAACATTAAATCATGGTTCATCTTTGTTGTTTCTATAATAGTACACAATATGAAAAAGGCAGTAGAAATCGCCATTAAAAATATAGTAAGTGTGACAAATATGTGGATATTTTGAAAAATGATGAATTTAAAAGATAACAAAAAACGAGATCATTAGATGATGATCTGTAATGTTTGGAGGGTGGGCTAACCTACAGCACTTAGGACTCACTAGGCCAATTGTACATCCTCCTAAGTCGATAGGCACCTCCTCCTAAGTCGATAGGCACCTCCTAGCTCTTAAGCCAGCTCACAGAGTAATTTAGTTGACAACGTCGCCAAGAAATGCTTATATCGACCGGTGTTAGCCAATTCTTGCCGAACGCAAATCTAATAATTGAGAGCGTTGGGCAATCGTAGAGGATATGCTCGATGGTACCATCTTATTCGCACCCTCTGCAGAGTGCGGATTCTGACAGCCTCATGATATGGAGATGCTTCCGTACTTGGCAATGATCAGTCAGAATGCCTGTGACCAGGCGCATATTCTATCTAGTCATAATTATTTTTTTTGCTGTAGTATTGTCAGAATAACTTAAAAGTGTGGTTTCCATGACTCCTGTTATGTTAAGACATGCTGTTTTTCTAATTTGTTTTAGTTTGGGGATAGCTGTCTATTTTTAGGTTTTCGGTACCATGTATTAGCATAGGTCTTATGATGGCCCTATAAATCTATGTGACGACTTTTGGGAAGAGTCGTAAGTGCGCCTCACGGTTCGACGCCATTGTTCATAAGCAATATATGCTTTTTTACTCTATTTTCTAGATTTGAGTTAAATGTTAACTTGCTCTCAAAGATGAGACACCTATGTATTTCACCTCTGTTGCAAAGTTAAGCTTTGTGTTTAGGAGCTTTGGAGGTTTTAGTTCCATTTTCATCCTTTGTGAAAAGGACTATTTCTGTCTTCTTGGGATTGATAGACGGCGAATAGTTCTTACACCACTGTTCAATAATTTTGAGAGCTACTTGCATTCTTTCTCAGTATGTTTTTAAAATTCTCTCTTTGCAGAATGTCCAGGTCATCTGCATATGCTATTGGGTAGAGAATGTCATTATTGAGGCGGCTGATGAGGGTGTCTAAGATCCTGTTCCACCTAGGTGATAGTACCCCTACCTGTGGACATCATCTCATAACCAAGCCTCTTATATTCACATATTCTACACTTATGTTTACTGCTCGCATTGAGAGCATGTTATGTATCCATCGACTAGCCATCGGTGGAACATTTCAGTTGGTTAGCGAGTATATTAGCTTGATGAAGGTCGTCTTATCAAAAGAACCTTCTATGTGTATGAAAACAAGTCAAGGCGGACTCGTTGATTGTCTAGTGATCTCTCTATATGTCCAGCAACTATGTAAAGGGCTGAATAAGTTGATCTGCCTGGGGTGTATGCATGTTGAGTTGGGTATAGTTGTGTCCATTCTTTAGGTTTGGGCATGAAGACTACTTTTACCTCTCGCCATTTTTTGGGGATATACCTTAGAGCCAACGAGGATCTGAATTTACCTATCAGGTGCGATATGAGTTGAAGTAGGGAGGGATAGATACCGTCAGGTCTTGGCGATTTAAATGGAGTGAAGCTAGATATTGCCCATCTAATTTTGTCATCGTCTACAATGTGTTTGGCAATTTGCCAATCGTAGATAGATGAGTTGAATTCTTCCTCTGCCCAGTCGGCCACGTCTGTAATGACCGAGCCAGGAAAGTGTGTTGACAGGAGAATTTTGATGTTATCTTCTAGGTTTGCTGTTCTCATGCCATCCCCTTTGATTAGCACACCGGCAATGTTGATCTCTTGAGAGAGCTTTTTGAAACCTCGTTGCCTGCCGTAAATCTTCGATTTCTTCGCAATAAGATCTTCATGTCTCTCTGTTTTTGTCTAACGATTTTTTTGTATTCTCTGATGTAAGATTTGTAAGTGTGTCAGCCCTCTTTGAGTTTTGTGATTCTTGCCTTATTAAAGGGTTTTCTAGCCGTCTTCCTGATCCATATCGTGATGCCTCCATACGGTAGTCGTCTGATCTTGTTGGACCAGCCTTAGGGCATTGTTTATTGTGCTTTGGATATTGTTCAAGTATTTTTTCAAAGCATTGTTTTTTGGTGTTTCGACCCCCACCTCTCTCAGAGCCTCTTGGCGAAGGTGTGCATAAGTTGTCCTAATAAGATGTGGATTTTTTATCACGTGATAGAGGATTGGTCGATTCTGAGACAATCTATAAGATCTGTAAGCCAAAATCTGTAAAAAAAATTACATTACATTACTATATCTTACAGATTCTGTAGCTTATAGATGTAATGAACGAACGCTCTGTTACATTGAAACATTTGCAATGTTGTATAAATATTACGAAACATCCCAGAAACATTTCTGAAATATGCCTGAAACGTAAAAATGTTCTCTAAATATATTTCACAGTAATTTTTCTGAAATAAAAATTGGAAATCTTTTAGACATTAAATAGTAATATTTCAGAAATGTATTCTAGTTTTTTTTCTAATATATTATACTAAAAAAGGCATTTAAAATACACAAAACTCAAACATTGATTCTTAAACAAAGAAATAAATATGTTTTAAAGAATATTTCATAAAATATAGAAGTGAATTGCTTCATTTCCACCAATTCCTTTAAATGCACTAATTTGAAACAACTAGGTTTTTTCTCATAAATGCTCCAAGTAATGAAACATTTACGATTATTATAATCTAATCCAGTGGCAGCTCGTGTATGTGTGCTGAGGAGCTGCAGCACACAGTAAAATCACAGGAAAATAAGATAGATTTAAGTAAAAGAATATTTACAATTTTCTTTTTTAAAATTATTCATTTAGGTACCTATCTGAATAAAAAGTAGTTTGACGCGCGCTTAAGTCTTCGCGATAAACGTACCCAATCTTAAATACCGGACGCATAGGTAGGCATTGTTTTTAACCGTTGATTTAAATTTAGTAGCGAGACCGTTTGCGCTAGTTTAGCTTGATTTACTTAGTTGTCGCAAGTAGTTTTTCTGATAATATTTCGTGTAAAATTAATCAGGTTTTAATATTTATTGGCGAATCCATTTGTGCGTTTTTCTTTGGAGGATAAAATCAGAGTTAAAGAACTTGGTCGACCTACTCCAACCCTTAAAATAACACAGGATGCCAAAATCAAAAGTTCTACTTACAAGCGCCAATTTCACGTAAAAACATATGGAAGAAAATAAGTGGATTTGTGGATGTGAGATAACAAATGCACTGTTTTGCTTTCCATGCTTGTTGTTTGGCGGTGAAAATTCCTGGAGAAAATTAGGTGTAACGGATTTGGGACACTTAAGCAATTTAATTAAAAGACATTCTCAAAATAAAACACACCTAATTAATGTTTTAAATTTAGCGAATATAGGTAAAGTGAATATTGCTACTCAACTTGACAGTGCTTACCGAATGTCAATTCAAAAGCATAATGAGAGTGTTGAGAAACATAGGTATATATTAAGCAAAATATCGATTGCATTAAGTTTTGTGGTGCATTCGAATTAGCTCTACGTGGGCACGACGAAAAAGAAGACTCTTTAAATCCAGGCGTTTTCAGAGGTCTTTTGGATCTTATGGGCAGTGTCGATTCGGCGATAAAAGATCATTTTAGCAGTGGAAGTGCGTTCAAAGGACATTCAAAAACAATACAGAATGAACTTTTAGACTGTATGTTAGACGTCTGACAAGATGAGATAGATACTACAACAAATTCATGTATCCAAGTTCATTTCTATTATAGCAGACGACACCACCGACATTTCCGGCGAAACACAGACTTGCATTGTCGTGAGGTATTTTTACAAAGGAAAAATCTATGAGAGATTCTGGTCATTTGTCAATCCGTGTGGACAGGACGCAGAGGTTATATCTCAGATAGTTATAGACGCTTTAAATGTCATGGTTAAAACCAACGTACAAAAAGATATTTCCTTTCCCAAAGTTACGACGGAGCAGCTGTAATGTCTGGAAAAATCAATGGGGTACAAGCAAAAGTCAGAAGCAAGTTTGTCAATGCATACTATACTCATTGTTACGCACATCAAC